GATAATGAAGGAGGCAGGTTTGAAGAGTTGTGGATGTGTAACGCATATGCATATATGTGTACTGCTAACCTGCATATGCTTGAATGACAATAGCATATTCCTTGGCCTTGGCGTCTCTAATCGGAAGTTACCCAGATGGTGGGGAGGTGGGTATTTCATTTGCTTAATGATGCGTTGAGTTTTGATGGATCTGGATTCCGGACTGAAAGGGAAAGGCAGAATGTTCGACTGGGAAAAGATGATGCGATGTGCGGAACTGGAAAGACGTTTTGAGAAGATTCCAATAAAAGGTGGAAAGATGTTCAGACCAGACAGGTGTTCATCATCCATAGCCGTTGTAACGTTTATGCACTATGCATGCATATGCAATGTATGACAGGGGAAGGGTGGTGCGGTTAGGGGGTTGTGATTTGTGTGGAAGAAATGGCGCTGGGGTATTGAGTGATTACCCAGGTATTTATGTGGTCTCGAATTATGTTCTGGACTGAGGTGGATAAGTGATTGAAGAATCACATAGGTATCTTCAAGCATACATACGGTGTGCATGTTGTAGGATTTCTTTGTATGTAATAGCACTTCCCGATTGCCTCGCGTTGCGTCTAGCAATCATGATCGACAAACGGAGAAACAGGAGTGGAATCACCTAGGACCATGTTGGATATACAGTTCTTACATTCCTCATTTCAATCGGTATATGCATGGTAAGACGGAGTGTGCCAGCCAAACCGGTATGCGCTCGGGACTTCATGAACATCCAGAACATGCGAGGGTTCACGGAAAACGGAGAAATGGGAGAAAAGGTATCTTGCGTTGCAATCGGCAAATCTCTCATGCAATTACATACATTACATCCGAATGTCACTCGGCATCTAGATACCCTTTTAGTCAGTGGATGATGTTTCCCATAAGATCGGATGTTGGTCGCCAAGAAGAACATTTATCAGGCCCGGGACCGAAGAAAGGGTTGGATGAGATAATGAATGAATGATGGAGGTGATTGCCCGTTCTGATTGTGGGGCCGAGTTGTAATTTGAGTAATTGCCATGTGAGTATATTGAGGTTATGGATGCAGCGAAATTTCATATACGTTGTGTCCAAAGTGTGATATTATCGGGAAGTAGGTAAGTGGAGTTGGGGGGGGGGGAAGAGTGCAAGGAAGCGAGGTTCAGGCTATATCAAAATTCGGCTGGTGTAGATAGGTAATGTTCGAGCCTCGTAAGAATGAGTGAAGAGAATCCAAATAAGGAAATCGAGACGCACCGTGAAAATTTCAGAAGCTCTGGATAAAATTCATTGTTTTTGTGTCTTTGATGTTGATAGGGGTTAAATATTAGGTGAGATAGATGAAGAGAATGCAGCATGTCATATTCACATGTTTGGCTTTATCTGTCCGTAAATGAAAAGCCTTGGATCAATATGACGAAATCATGACATATGATCCGATAAGATTGGAGAAGGTGGAGAAATGGGGGCACACTCTGGATTTGGCTTATTTTTGGGGCAAATTGGGGATTCTTGAAGCATGAGGTTTTTATAAATTATCTCAACAGCGACAGTATGTTGATTGAGGATTAGCACGCGAAGATCGATGCACAGGCAAGAAGAACTTTTTTTAGGACTGTTAAAATCTTAGGTAACGAGCTTGAATCGGATGGACCTGCATGGATGGCGTCTATGGGTTACATGTGCTTCCTATGAGAATACGTGTGATCTGGGGAAGCACTTGAAAATCTTTCATCAAGAAGATTAAAGAATGCTGAAGCTATTTGTTAAACTCAGAAGTAATAAGGGTTTGTGGAGACGATGTATCATTTCTGGCGTGGTCTGCATATGTCACAACTGTTGGTGATGGAAAGCAGGATGCTACCATGGTCTATCTCGTCTAAGATGTTTGTCTAGTGGATGTAAATACAGGGAATTTGTGGGAAACTATTTGAATAGGGAAGGAATTTGTGGAGAAAACGTTTTTGGCACAGTTTTTTTGCTGATATTGAGGCGCTTGTGTAGGTACATTCTGCGAGGCAGTCATCTACCTAGCTGTCGACATTTGCGGTTAAAATGAAGCATACTGATGTACTAGTAAGGATGGTAACACCATAATTTCAAGGCTTTTGGGGCATATTAAATCTTCACGGTCTTTAGACGCGGCAGGGTATTATAGATGATCAAACCAGATGGGGATTAAGTAATTGGGCCGACTGCAACTAGATCAATGCCGAGGGCAAGGCTTTCAAAATCAAATCATCCACTAGTTCGATTTGAATATCATGGTATGCGCATCGATTGGATCCTCTTCATACGAATTGTTCAAGAAAATCAGCAGAACATACGAGGCCTTTGAAGATTAAATTAGGTCATTGGAAAGACAAGACCTGCTAAGAGAGCCATCGGCTGTTCGGTCAATCAAGCACCATTATCTAGCCGAAAAAAATGTGAATTTGCCGATTCACGGCTTCATGACTCGACATTTCAAGTCAAAAATCCTGAATTCCTTCCTTATCGCGCCTTTCTCGGTCAATGGTCAAAAACTGAGATTTTAATAATCCTTGCTCATAGTTATGTACCTTGGCCGTCAATAGCGTCATGTAATTCATCCATGCGACATGAGAAAATGGTCGCGCATGAAATCTCTGTCCCAGTTGTTCAATCATGTTACGGAGTAATTGAAATTCCCTCCGTCGACGATCAAAACCAATTATTCCCCCATGAAGCTTCAATAGATCAGGTGTGAGTAGTATTGAAGGAAATGAGTTTATCCTGTTTCAAGTATAGAGTGTCGTAGATCGCAATAAAGTGCTTACTGTCGCATTTTGATAAGAAGCTGTAGATCCTGAACGGAAGTGTCGTCACTAGGCTTCCTCCATTAAATGCACGGCGTGATATCCTTAATAGTACCGCACCAATGCACCACGTGGCCTGGACCAAACACACGCAGCCATGCATGAAATCCCGACATGTACCCTCTAAGGATCCGTTTGAGATATTCCAACCATAGGCTGTGTCCGATCGGATCGTAGTCCCGTTCTCCCCTGGTTTGTGAGACCCGCGTGAGAGTATCAGCCTTCACTTTCTACCATACCAGCTAGAAATAAAATGTTTTCCTTCATAGCCAGTGTGATTTCTCCTTGCCCGGTATAAACATAGGCGATTGTATCAACCCATGCTTCCGGGCTGGGTAAAGGAAGATCAATGGAATCACCTTTACGAATGTGCCCTGATAGCATCAGAGCGGCCAAAACTGGGAGATAATGCAAAGCATATTCAATATCTGGAATGGATTATTAGTCATGGTATAACTTTTCATTATAAAGAAGACACTTACGGATCGGTACTGCCCCGTGATTGGAATTGATCTGGCGTCTGATATGGTCCGCGGTCCCGCGTCGATTTGGAATGGAAATCTGCTGCAAAGATAACCGTCGAAGCCTGCTGGACCTTCTTACGATTGTCGAATTCCGTGGATGATCCTGATTGGACTGAGGAATCGGTATGCCGTCTCGTAATAATCGAATGTCAACTTCTCTTTGAATCCAAAAGGGCTTGCGTTCAATTTCTCTAGGTGATACTCTAGCACGTATTATCACCTGATTCGACATTCTAAAGGACTCATGCATATCCTGTTCTTTTATCATTTCCAGGCTTGGTCGCCTCAGACTGACTGCATTGACGAAAGCATCAGCTGTGATAACATTTCCAAAATAAACGTGACCCCAAGTCTGCAAGCGGTCATGGGTATACTCGAATGGGACATGGTGTGTTGAAGTGGAAGAAGCTGGAGTTTCAGAATGCCGCCTAGTATCAGAGATGCTGAAATCAGCTGATTCTTTTGATCGAATATTGAGACAAGCTTTAGATTGTTCCATCTTCTCGTTGGCGAGTAGAACTCCTTGAACCATCTGCGAAGATGACGAATTGGAGGAGGGTATACTTGAAGATGCCTTGTCCAGGAAAGTTGTGTGTTTCGCCAGGGTCACCGTTGTAGAGTGCCTCCTGGGGGTTTGCTGTGCTCGAATTAAGCTATTTTGCCGCGACCACGCGTCAGATATCCAGCCGATTGGTTTTTGGCATTGTGAGGCATAAGCTCGTGCTGCCACTAGGCTGGGGCTGGGGAGTTGTGCGAGCGGGGATATGAACCCAACGCCCTGGGATGGAACGCTACGCTCACGCTCACGATTTCGCGCAGATTGCCGATGCAATTCGGGGTGCTGCAGCTTCTTATTCCGCGGGCGAAAGATCTCCGGCATGGTAGACTGGGCTTACTTCGGATAATACTTGAAGAAACACCCGAGAAGAAAGCAGAAACTTTGTTAGAAACGACTAAATGTATCGAGTAGAGAAATAGCAAGTTTAAATGCAAGTGCTTATGGTTGATCGCTTTTGTGATGTCAAAAGATATCACTTCTATTGATTGATGGGGTGCAAAAAGAATCCCAACAGAAAGCTGGCTGAATAACTTGTGTACTATATGATCTAATGGAAATCAAAAGATATGGAGTGCTTTTCTCATACCTGCCTTTGCTCACATGAGACGTCATCCACTCACTTTGAAAGGAAACGAGTTACAGAATGTCTGAATCATAACATCCCGTGAGTCTCCCTACTCAACTTCATAACATCAAAGCCGCTTGTAACTATGGGGACATCTGTATCGCCAAAGTATGTAAGTTCCCATGGGGACCCGAGACCTTCTCAACACTGGGTAGCCACAGGCTTTCGAGAGCAACTCCGTTGAACCGAACCGCGGGTGTGTCTCAATCACACATGACCTGATAGGCCGGGTGTGGTTTGAAATGTACATTCATGAGTGGTTTTGAAGAAGATAAGTCACCAGAATGATTGACAATTCTTGAAAGAAAGAAGTTGTTTCAAATATCCGCGAGACATCTCATTGGAAAAGAAAGAATTATAAAGTAAGTGTTTGAGGTGGCTGTGCATTAGGGATCTAAACCGGTCAGAACTTTCTCTCGGTTTCCCTGGATGCTAAGTTCTTCAGAAACAAAAATCATGGTTTTCATCGAGACTGGATGCACTCAAATCATTGGAAATCTTCGCTGGAAGATACGAGGAAAGAATTTGTCTTACAAGTTGTGAAGTCGGAAGGGTGAGGTGATTGCGTTTGGTGAACCGAGCGGCGGGGCTGTCGTAGCCACATTGCGTTGGATTGTCTGGCCTCATCAAAAATTATAACACAGTTTTGACCTTCTCATTCAATTGACATTACGAGCCCAGCGTTACCAGTATGTCGCGGGCAGCTGAAGCAGCTATGGCTGCAAGTTACAAAAGCTTGAAGGAGGATTTCGTGTCAAATTTGACAGGTGGAGGAATTGGAGAAATCAATATGGTTACTGCTGTCGCTCCAGTATGTCTGAGCAATGGAAACAATTATTATTGCACAGCGAGCTGACTTACTAAAACAGGTCGCAGTTATCCTTTGGTCGGCTTTACAGAGCCGCCAGCAATTTTTCGCACCATATACTCCAATTGCTTTCGCTGTCGACTTCCTTCTCAATGTCGGAGCTATTCTTCTCGCGATTTCTGTCTACGCAGATATGCCCCTCATCTTGAATCTCTTACTGCTTGCGCCAGTTCCATTACTATATGCAATCCCACCGCAGAAGACCATACAAAAGACTACACAAAAGAAATCAAGAATCACACAATTAAAAGCAAAACCTTCAGACGAATTGAGTCCCCTTCCGAAGAAGCCTTTCCTCACCATCTATAGAGGGGCAATGATGGTCATCACTTGTATAGCTATACTTGCTGTCGATTTCAGAATTTTCCCACGGAGGTTTGCCAAGGTAGAAAACTGGGGAACGTCGTTAATGGATATGGGAGTAGGATCTTTTGTATTTTCTGGTGGTCTTGTAGGCGCCCGTCCGATACTCAAAGAACAGAATGCTGGCCGAACAACGAAGCTCAGCACACGCTTATACAACTCGATACGCCATTCACTGCCATTGATTGTTCTTGGAATCATACGTTTGTACAGTGTTAAAGGATTGGACTATGCGGAGCATGTTACTGAATATGGAGTTCACTGGAATTTCTTCTTTACCCTTGCATTCATTCCTCCATTCGTAGCGATATTTCAGTCCGCGTTTCAGCTCATCCCGTCATACGCCCTGTTGGCCATAATCCTCGGCTCCTTGTATCAAGTTACACTCGAATATACCAGCCTCAAAGCTTTCATACTCACAGCTCCAAGAACAGATCTATTTTCGAAGAACCGTGAAGGAATCTTTAGTTTCTTTGGCTATCTCGCAATATTTCTGGCTGGTCAAGCAGCTGGGATGTTCGTATTACCACGCAATTCCATACCGACCGGAGGTCCTGCTGCTCAGAGAAAACGCCTCTTGATGCAAATGGGTACATGGTCAGGAGTGTGGATTGCCCTCTACTTGTTCACCACAAACTACAAATATGGATTGGCATTAAGTGTATCACGCCGTCTTGCGAACTTTCCATATTTCCTATGGGTTTCAGCTTTCAATTGCTCACAATTGACTGCGTTTTGTTTGGTGGAAACGATATTCTCCCCAGCGGCTCATAAAAGCACGGATGCGAAGACGGAAAAGGAGAATTATGAACTCTCAACCAGTCGAGTCCTTGAAGCATTTAACAGAAATGGTCTGGCCATCTTCTTGGCTGCGAATTTACTTACAGGACTCGTCAACCTGACCATCCCAACTTTATTTGTCAGCAATCTCCAAGCTATGGGGATATTACTACTTTATGCCTCTGCATTGACGGGACTTGCAGTAGGTTTGGATGTATATGACATCTCCATTAAAATGTAATCCCGGATGGAGATTGTTTTAAGCAACACAGTAATCTGCAATCTCGCCGAGTCCAGCTTTTGCCTTGCAACTCCCGTGCTTGATGAAAACAGCGATGAACCTTGTACACAACCTTTGACATTTGATACCTGCTTTTCGGATGCTGTGATGTGAACCTGAATATATATATATATCAATCGTACGGGTAGATGAGACAATGAAGCAAACAATGCAAAAGTTTCGACCTTGGCAGTTAAATTCATATACCTCTGATTCATGTCCCAGAGCCAAATATATCTCGGGTCGGTTAGATCGGTATTACCATTTTTATTATCTAGATACCTACTTTATGGAGAATCAAGTGTCAGTCAGGTAGGTAATCAATCAATCAATCGATCCATCCATCCATCCATCAAGCAATTCCAGCATAAAACTCTACAGTAATATAAATTAACCCACAAAGCCACAACCTTGACCATTCCAAGGTTGATTCCGCACTCATCAGCGTGTCCGTCCGAAGATTTTAGAAGTTTACAGAGTATAGCCTGGGGGAATGAATGAATGATGATCATCAGATTTGATTTGACTTGATTTGTTCGTCGTATCGGGATATACCTATGCTGAAACAATGTATATCCTCCTTGCACCTTTTTTATATGCAATACCTATGCAAGCTTACTCGACTTCTTCGTGGACCTTTTTTCTTTATATGTATGTGTATGTGTATGTGTATGTGTATGTGTATGTGTATGTGTATGTGTATGTGTATGTGTATGTGTATGTGTATGTATGTGTATGTGTATGTGTATGTGTATGTGTATGTGTATGTGTATGTGTATGTGTATGTGTATGTGTATGTGTATGTGTATGTGTATGTGTATGTATAGGTATAGGTATAGGTATAGGTATAGGTATAGGTATATCCCAACGCGTGATTTGTCGTTTTCGAGGAGATGGAGATGGAGTGGAAATGGGAGGGGAGGGGGAGTGGAATGGTGCAGGTACCCAGATCAGATGCACATTGCATACATACATGCATGCATGTAATAGTAATACGACGTTGACAAGGTAGGTGGTTGAGGAAGGGGTGGGTGCGTGGTACCTGAATCTTTCCTTGTTGGTGTTGGTGTGGTTTTTTTCTTCTTGTTTTGTTTTGTTCTTCCCGAGGATAGATGGGGATGGATGGATGGATGGATGGGGGATGGATTTTTAGATGGGGATGTTTATTTAGATTTAGATTTATGTTTATGTTTATGTTTATATGTGTATATGTGCAGATAGGTGTAGATGTGAGGTTTTTGTGACTCGATTTGGGGCTGGGGGATGCATTCTATCATCTATGGAGGTAGGTACGTTACTGGTATGTGATTCTTGGGTGTTATTCTGGTGATGAACATTGATACCTAGGTACCTACCTGGCTGGTGATACTGATGTTCTTATTCTATGCTCCTTTCATATCCTCTTCTCATGTTGACCCAACAAGTTTTGATATAATATGACACGATATAATATAATAAAATACCCAAATATCTACCTATCTCTATAGTGAAACAACACACATCCAAAAGAAATCAGAAAAGAAGTACTCAGTGAAATTTAAGGATTCTTCGGGTCTTCTGTGCAGTGAGTGGTGTTCTGTTTGATTGGATATCTAGTTTGTTTCAGAGAATGTTTTGAGGGGGGTTGGTAGATTTGCCAGGTGCGCTAGGTGTGTTGATATGTATATATAGAGAGTATCTAGGGAGGTACCTATGTGTGGAGGTGTTGTATTTGTGGTTTGTAGTACTCTTTATATATATATGTGTGTAAGATCTTATATGAATATGTTTGATATCTAATTAGATAGATAAAGTCTTAGACCCGATTCAGTGTTTCTATTTCCATTGTACAGCTTTCGAATTCGAATTAGTGATTTTTCTGTTATATAGAAGATAAATATAGAAATGAATATCTAAATGATGATGAGAGTGAAACTTATCTGTCTGTCTATCTATGGACCTATTTACTAGGTGATAGGTGATAGGTGATAGGTAATAGGTACCTACTTAATAAAATAGTATTGTGATGTGATATGATTTGACTTGATTCGATTTGATTTACTAGATAACCTAATAGCTATCCTATCCTATCTTAAATACCTATCTACCTATCTACCTACCTGCCCCCAACTCACCTACCCCCCTATACCAATATCCAAGCTCTAGATATCTAGATAGTCTATATATACAACAAAATCCAAACAACCAATCAAGCAAACACTAATACTAACTAGCCCATCCATCAAACCTTGATGATATATACTTACCATACTTACATACAAAATATCCATCAAACACATACTATACTGAGATACTGAGATACCATACCATAGCCGGCGCTCGCTCGGTACCCATAGAGGGAGGGGCATTTCTTTACGTCGGTTTTGCAAAAGATTGATGCTTCATCTCCGGTGTTTATGCATGTCATAGCTTGGTTGGCGTATTGTGAATTTGTGATGGGATGGATGGGTGGTTTATCCTTTTTTTGTCTGGATTTCGGATTTTTATTTTCGGGGAAAGGAGAGAGAGAGAGGCGGGGGGGGGGGAGAGGTGTTTAATGGGAGAGTTGGGATGGATAGATGGAGGGATAGATAGATTCCATGGTATTATATTATATGGTAATAACCCCATATAGCATCATTCCATGTATTAATACCTCAAATGTCAAAAGTGCTAATTGGGGTCTAATATATGCTATTTCAGGTCATTTTGATTTTCAAAATATTATTATTTTGATCTCAATTTGAAAAGTATTAGTTTAATCCAAATTTATAAAGATATTAATATTCTAATTTCAGATTCAAAAGTGATATTAATTTAAATATAATATAAAATTTGGATTTTCTATTCAAATTATAATTAATCAGATTAGGAAATTAGATTCTAATTTCAAATTGAATCTCAAAGCTTTTATTTCTTAAACAAACTTTATTTTACTTTATATTCCTTATTTTTATTAATATATCTTTTAAATATTCTTCTTTTTTTTTAATTTCGATATAAGAAAAATAAGAAAAATAAAAAAGGAAAATATAAAAAGAAAAAAAGAAAAAAAGAAATTTATAAATTTAAAAGATTAAAAGAGAGATTTTAAATTTATAAATTTGTAGTTTATAATTATTTAATATATTTTATATTATATTATAATCAGAATATGATTTTTAAAGTCAAAATATTATATCAATCTGATGTCAGAATACTATATATTTTTGAAATTAGAATATCAATTTTTTATTTAAATCAAATCGAAATCAGAATAACAATATTATCAAAAAAAATCGAGATTGAAATATCAAAAATGCTAATTGAAATTATTTTAGTTATATTCCTGACATTTGAGGTATTAATATATGGAATGATGCTATATGGGGTTATTATCGTATATTATATCATATCATATCTTTGATTTCTACGATATACTATTTCTTATACTATTTTTTGTGTTAGTAAGACTTTCTAGAGTCAAGAATCGAAAATGAAGATCAAGGAGAACAGGAGATGGATGGGATGGGATGGGATAGGATATAGGTGGATAGGGAGGTGGGTAGGGAGGTGGGTAGGGAGGGATGTTATGGAGTATTTTGTTTACTCTACCAGTATATTTATATCAGTAACTAAATAAATGGATGGATGGACGGATAGATAGATGCGTAGTGGAGAATGGAAGATGGAGGATGTGTTGAGAATTTGAGATGAGGATGAGGATGATCATTTTGGATATTTGAGAGGTACGAGTGTAGAGAGATATTGTGTAATAATTTGTATGTGGTGTGGTGTGTATGTGTATGTATGTAGTGTGTATATATGTATGTAGTGTGTATATATGTGTGGCTGGGCTTGCTTGTTGATATTTGAATGGGAATTTAGGATTTAGAGTTTAGGATTGGAGTTTATGGAGTATATAGAAGATAGAAGATAGATTAATTGAGGGAAAATTCCCGATGTAGATGATGATGATGATGATGATGATGATGATGAATGATGAATGATGACTTCACAACGCGTTTTTGATGGATGGAAGGATGGATGGATGGATGGATGGATGGATGGATGGAGTAAGTACTAGGTTCGTTAGTAAGAGACTTCAAGGTTCTTCCTTTGGTATGTATCATTGTGTACGGTACAGTGTACAAATTCGATGTCAACTACTGGTAGAATCTTGAATGACCTGTACCTGTACCGGTAGATGAAGAGAGGGATTTGTTTACTCACCGGGGGATCCTAGAGAGGGAGTGAGTGACAGACAGACAGAGAGAAAATCCAAGGGACGAATCCAGTCACCAATGATGATCCGAATCTTCGTACACGGAGTTGACTGCTAACTAACTTACTCACAGACGAACAGACGGTCCATCCAAAGAAAACCTACTGTACCATACTAGTATACTACCTCCCTAGAAGCCTTCCTAGTAAGTAGCTCAGTACCTCTCCAGGATGTGAGCATGCCACGTCAATGCAAAGACAAACAAAGTTTTCCGAGTGATGATGATGTTTATGCCACTTGTGAGAGGATGCATAGGGAACCACATCATGCATCCAAGAAGGACATCGCATCTAGGGTCCCCCTCATTCGCGGGTCTGGCGTGCGTCGAGCTAGAAGGCTGTCAGATGTTTTTCTTTTTGTTCGCTCGCTCGCTCACCGTTGGATGGGCTAGCTGGGGGTTAAGGTTTGTGGTGTTATGCCAGAGAAAACGCGAAAGCGACGCGCAGATGGTTGGTTGGTTGATTGATTGGAAAGGTATCGATGTTAATGCATGGTCATGCTAATTCTAGAAGGAAAGACGTCTTGTCTCGTCTGGGGGATTCCTTTTGTTCGTCTGATATATCAAGGAATAACCTGTTTCTCCTCTCCTCTCCCCCTTTTCGTTTCTCGAGTGCGCATGCGAATCGAGGTAATACTCGGTAGATAGATGTCATTGTAATATTGTATCCCCAGGACGATTCATGCAAAGTGTTCGGGGTGGTGAATTTGATAAAAAGTTTATGTGATCCTCTTGTATTGTAATGTAGAGTAGAGGAAAGGAAAAAAGTAAAAGAAAGTCTTGTTTTTGTTCTTCTGCATTGAGACCTATCTACCTATCTACCTACTTTGCATTTCCAAAGTTCGAAGTATCAAATTCGATATATCTCCGGATCGATTACCTCCTTCACCTCTCCCATCTGATATCCATCCACAAGCCGAAGACGAGTACCTAGACGCAGCAGCGAACGCGAACAAATCTTTGATACCAGCAAGCTAGCCAGCTATTGAGTTGGATTCGAATCATACGATAGTGTTCTTACAACTTGCTCTATTTCTCTATAGGTATGTTTACACATTATTTCATTGATTCATCGCCTCCCCTTATGGTTCCGGCGTGGTATGAATATCAAAAGGTTCAAACCATACCATACATAGCATACCATCATCACCAGCAAACCAGCAGCCACCATTTTCTATTCACATATCTCACGGGTGTCCAAGTCAAGGGCTTGTATAGATAGTGCAAGTATGCATTTCTTTTTTACCATCACAAATCCATCCACTTCACAAATCCAATGCTTGCCGTGGCTTACCGTGTTCACGTTTCCCGCTCCGTTCAGCAACAGCCCTGGGCTTTTCATTTGCCCTTCTCCTTTTTGACCACTTTGAACCTCCCTCCCATGAGTCCCATCCCATCCACCCTCGCTAAATGAACAAAAAGGAAATTACTTTGGAGAGATTGAGAAAGAAGTTTTGGCTGACCCAGAGAAAGTTGGAATTGGGAATTGGAAGAAGTGTGAGAAGAAAACGGAA